TTTGCATTTGAGAATACAAGTGAAGATAATATGATATTATGCCCATGTGTGAAATGTGCTAATATCGAGTGGCAAATGTGTCAAGTTGTTTATGAGCATTTAATTTGTATAGGATTTCTATCGGGATATATTAATTGATATTTTCATGAAAACTCTGTATCGTCAAGGTCTTTCGCTATAGTTTTTTCAACATCAAAGGCTCCCCATCACCAATATGATCCCTTTATAGTATATAACATTGAAGGCCTGTTGTGAGATGCTTTTAACATTCATAACCAAAATTTTCATAATTTTTCTCATGAAATGAAAGATTTAATCAGTCCAATGTTGAAATGCATGAATTTGGTGAACCTGGGATAGGTGTACTTGACCAACAACCTAGAGGAAAAGCATCAAAGTTTTATAGGTTGCTTGAAGAGATGAATGAAAAACTTTTTGAGGGATCGAAGTATTCAAGGTTATCTTTCTGTGTTCGTCTTTTTCACTTGAAAATGCTTATGTGGATGGACGGGAAACTATCTGACTTTATTATTACAGTTTATGAAAGAAATATTTTCCTTTATAAAAATTCTTGAATCTTGAAAGAAATCAAAGAAGATGATCAAAGATTTAGGTCTCGGATATGAGAAAATTCATAGTTGTCCCAATGATTGCATGTTGTATTAAAGGGATAAAAAAATCAAGAATCTTGTCATTTGTGTGGTATTTCTCGTTGGGTCAACAAAAACCTCGATGAAAGGTTGAATGATGATGGTAATGAGGTATGTGTCAAAAAAAAGCCTGTTAATGTTTTACACTATTTTCCATTAATACCAAGACTGTAACGACTCTACATGTCTTTCAAAACTGTAGAATCAATGAGGTCACATCATGAGAAGTGGACGGATGATGGATCATTGAGGCATCCTGTAGATTTTTTTAGCATAGAAGTCATTTCATTCTAAGTTTCTAGACTTTGCATCTGATCCTCAAAATGTTATGCTTGGACTAGCATCTAATGGATTCAACCCATTCCAAATGATGAGTACTTCTTATAGTACTTAGTCAGTTATATTGATTATTTACAATTTACCACCATGGATTGCTATGAAGTAACAATCATTTATATTGTCTATGATAATTTTTGAGAAAAAAAGTTCGGGTAATGATATAGACATCTACTTACAACCTCATATTAAAGAGTTAAAGTAATTATAGGAAGGAGTTAAGACCTATGATGCATCAAATGCAGAGAACTTTAATATGCGTGCTATTTTATTATGGACTATCAACGATTTTCCTACTTATACGAATTTATCCGGTTGGAGTACAAAAGGTCGTTATGCTTGTCCATGTTGTGTTGCACAGACATGTTTGACATGGTTACATAATGGTATGAAGTTCTGTTATATGAGATATCGTCAATGGTTAGATGATAATCATCGATTTAGATTTCAAAAATATCTCTTTGATGAAACTGAAGAGTTGAGAAGATCACCTTTAACCATTAGTGGGTCTACTATCTTGTCAAAATTAAAAGATATAAATTTCACATATGGAAAAATGACTCCATTAAGAAAAAGAGTGAGGGAAATCTTTGAATGTGTCTGGCCTCGTATTATACAAAGTGGTCATAGTCATAAAGAAGTTGGTGATCTTGGTGTTCAAAGTGATGAAAAGGATGATGAAGTAGATGACCCCAAAGAGTATGAGTTGTGGAAAAAAAGAAGTATATTTTTTGAGTTACCTTATTAGGAATATAATTTATTACACCATAACCTTGATTTGATGCACATAGAGAAGAATGTTTACAAAAATTTTATCGGGACAATTCTTAATGTGAATAGAAGATCCAAAGATGACTTAAAGAGTTGACTTGACCTAGTTAATATAGGGATTCCCTCAGACCTACATCCGATATTGCTTCCTAATGGCAAATATCAATTACCTGCTGTTGTTTTGAGATTTCTAAGCCAAAAAAGATGTGTTTTACAAGGTTTTAAAAAATATCAAAGTTTCAGATGGCTATACATCAAATATATCAAGATGTACGAATATGAAGGAGTGAAAATTATCACATTGAAGTCACATGATTATCACATTTTGATGCAAGACTTTCTTCCAATTGCTTTACGCTCATTAATGTCAAAGCAAATGACTTCTGTGATAATTGAATTAAGTAACATATTTAAATCTCTATGTTAGAAATGTATGAATGTGAAAGAGCTTGACAAAGTTCAAGATCGAGCAGCGATTACTTTATGCCATTTAGAGAAGATCTTCCCTCAAACTTTTTTACTATTATGATACATTTGGTTATCCACCTTTCATATGAAGCAAAGGTCAGTGAGTCGGTTTATTATCGATGAATGTATCCTATTGAAAGGTATTGTTTGTTGATATATTGATTACATTTTTATTGATTATCAAGCCAATCTACTTAAAATAACATATGACTAATATTTTATGCTATAGGTTTTTTGGGAGGTTAAAGTCTTATTGTCGCAACAAACGTTATCCAGAAGGTTCTGTTACTGAAGGATATTTAGCAAAAGAGTTTATGACATTTTGTTATCGTTATTTGGAAGATGTTGAAACGAGATTTAATAGACCTTTGAGAAATGTTGGAATGTAGCATACAGACTCGGCCTATAATTATCTTTTTCAAAGTTTTGGATAACCCATAGGCAAAGTTGAATTAGTAGAGTTAGATGATAAATCTTGGGCACAAGCACATCGATATGTTCTTTTTCATCATGACTCAATTGAATCGTTTCGCATGTAAGTTGTTTAGCAAGCAAATTATACATTACAGTAGGCATTATTTATTGTGTTTTTTTGTGTTAATACTCTATCATGATGCTTTATAGTGAGTATAGAAATAATTTGAGAGATCCTACACATTATCAATGATTAAAGCCTCGAGCGATTGATAAGTTGTTCACTGAAGACTTTCATGAATGATTAGGAGCAACTGTAAGTAATGCCATACTTCCTATTATTTTTTATCTACATAGAATGCTTATGGTAAAAATAACATTAATAACATATATATATATATAGAGTTATTCCACTTTTATAGGTTTGGAGTGGAAAGCTTGTTAGTGAAGAAGTGAAGTGTCTTTCACACTGTCCGAACCAGATTGTGAAATGATACAAAGGTTTCATCATCAATGGATTTGGATTTCACACAAAATCGTGTGAGAGATTTAGAAGTACACAAAATTTAGGAGTTGTTGTGACTTCATCAACTACTAGCTATGCTAGTGCTAGGGACACAAACCCTTTAAAAGAAAATATTTACTATTATGGCATGATTAATGACATCATTAAGTTAGATTATTATGGCAAGTGGAAAGTTGTCTTATTTCAGTGTGATTGGGTAGATGTGAATAGTGAGAAGGGTCTTAAGAAAGATCAATACGGATTTACACTTGTTAATTTTTCTCGATTAATTCACATAGGACAACACCTCATTGATGAACCATATGTATTTTCATCTCAAGTCAAACAAGTATTTTAGTTTGAAGATCTAAAAGAATTAGGTTGATTTGTTGTTCTTCGAAACACACCTAGAGACTTATTTGATATGGGGTTAGATACTAAAGATGATATTGAACATGGAACTGAATGTTATCCTTTTGATGAGCAAAACTTGGATGAGAATATCTCCAGTACCAATGCTTAGTGGATCCGCGAAGATGTTACTGAAGACAGGAGAAAACGAAAGAGAAAATGGCTACTGAGATTGAAGTCTCATCTGAAGGTTATCTCAACATGCAAGAAATGGAAAATCGAATATTCATAGAAGTTGCTGGAAAAGAAAGGCATGGATGGGTCCGAGGCCTTGGATTGGCTCCGAGGCCTTGGATTGGTTCCAACACCATCTGCCTACTATGGACATAACTCTCCGTAATTTACACTCTCAGCAAGTCAATCTTCGCGAGATATTTCAATATTGAGAGGGGAGTTACAAACTATGCAACAACATTTTCAGCAAATGGAAGCAGAAAGAGAACATGAGCGTGCCAAAATTGAAGAAAAATGTACTATAATGGAGCTAGAGCGTGTAAAATTTTAGTAGTTGCATGATCGATTCGATCATCGGATGAATTTTGTGCAACAACAATTTTCAGAAAATGATCTTGGTGCTCCATCAACTCAGGTATTATATTTAGTAAATATTAAAATTTTTAAATAAAAAATAAGCATACAATGAAGTGTTAAAAATTGTATGGTATTATTCAGTAGGTTGTTGAGCACGTTAGTGACCAAGGTGAAAATTTTTCTTCATCAATTGGGAGCTAGCAAAATGTATGTAGTCATTCATTTCATACATTTTAATTTTTTATTTGGTTAATGTATTTATAATATTTGAATGCTATTATACTAATTATTAAACTTTCTATTAATTAGATGTATATTTAAACGGGAATGAAGTTAATATTAATTTCAGTTTCTAAATTTAAGCTCTTTATTGAAAATAAAATTTATTATAAAAATTATAAAAAAAAATATTTTACATAATGGCAGCGTTTGCGTTGGCTAATGCCACTAAATGAATAATTTAGTGACGTTTATAGCATAAAATGCCACTAGTAGTAGCGACACTCTTTCCAGCAAATGCCACTAGTTTGATGGCGTCTTTTATAGAAACGTCACTAAAGCAACGGCGTTTTTCTCATAACAACACCACTGATTAGTAGCACCTAAAAGATACAAATACCGCAAATATTGAGGCGTTTTCAGATTTAAACGCCATACAAAGTAGCGGCATTTTTTATTACAAACGCCATAATGGAACGACGTTTTTTTCATAAAAATGCCACTGAAATAGCAGCATCTCTAAGATATAAACGCCAATAAAATGGTGGTGCTTCACATACAAACGTCACTAATATTGAGGCATTTTTTCGAAAACGTCGCTATTTACCGCGACGCATGTATAGACGACACTCTATGTAGCATTTTTTCACAAACACCGCAACCTTATAATGGCGTTAATAAATACTGCTAAACGGTTAAAAAAACGTCGCTAAAAACCAAAACCCCTGTAGTGGTGGATAATTTGATATCTCCAATTCTTGAAGTGAGGTGAGGTTGTGAATGTACTTGGGCAAACCCCTCAGTTCTTCACATTTATAAATGCAGAGCACTTTGTGGTTGGTGTTAGGCGACCCACTTGTTGGGAAGGAAATCAGACTTGGACAATATTCTATTACAATTGCCTGAAGATTAATGAGCTTGTCCAGTCCTTGGGGGAAATGTTTAACATTTCTACACCAGCTAATATAAATAAATTCAAGCAAAATGTTGTTGTAAAATTCTTGCCCTATGGATTCCAGCTCAGGGCAATTCCTAATAGTTAGGTGCTTATGCCCTATAGGCAACTTGCCACTTGATGATAAGGATGCCAATTTTGAGCAATCTTTGATCTTGAGATGTTGAAGATTAAATGGTAGCTCATGTCTTGAAGATAAAGATATAAGAGATGGACATGATGCAATCTCCAAATGCTCAAGGAGGAAATCATTTGTATTAATACTTTCTCCATCTAGAAAATACTGCAATTTGTTATGATTACTTATCACCAGCTTTTTCAGAGTAAAAGGCAAGTTAATCTCCGAAAAAGAAATCAATTTCGGGCAGTTTTCAATCTGTAGCTCCTGAAGAGATGTGAAGTTGTGCAAGGTATTAGGTAGCTTCTCAAGGCTTTCACAATACCCTATTATCAAAGACCTAATATTGCAAAAGGGCAGCTCTACTTTTAAATTATGTTGGAATTAAAAGACTTGGTTGGAACTAAAATCTTAATCACATGTATAATATATTTAACTTGATTTTTGGGAGAAACCCAAATAAGATTAGAGTTAAATTTTAAAATCCGAAACCTTGTGAAAGTAAATAAGAGGAAGCTTGTATAAGAATCAATAGCAATTGTTAGGCAAAAAAGGCAAAGCTGCAACAATTTTTAGCAATAATTATATTTGATTTCGAGGTTGCTTGGTTGTGGGCTTATGCTTTGATGGTTTTTCGATCTTAATTCTTTAAAGACTTTTAGGGAGATTTAAATTGGTGAAATAAGAGATATAAAAAAATGACATTAGTTGTTTTGAAGAAATAAAAAATAAAAAAAATAAAAAAATGGAGGTCAATGATTGCTTTTGAATTATGTGTTGTTTGTCTTACATAGAATCCAAAGTACAAGTCTTAAAATCATGATCTTTGATTTTGATTATTTGATTATTGCTAGCATTTTCAAGTTCTAATTATCATACTTGATTATTTGTTTGCTTTTTTATGCATATATTTTTGTTTATTTATTTATTTTTTATACTTGCAAATTTTAAATTAATTTTTTTATAATTAAAATATATTAAAACATAAAAATAAATAAGCTTTTCGATAACAAAATCTTTTCAAAGAAACATGCATATTACTTAAATGCTTTTAAAATGAAAAATATTTTTAAGGGCTCAATCAAGGTGTTGAAAAAATCTAAAAATATTTTTAATATTTAAATATTAAAATTAACAAAAATAATAAATAATAAGAATAAGTTAAAATCATGTTAATTAAGGTTAAAAAGATAATTTAAGATTAATTGATATTAATTATAGGCATTGTGGGAATGCTATAATATTCTCTACATACAACCAACCCAATTCTGTTTAGAAAATCAAGATTTATTCTTTTTAGGGATTTTAGTCTAAGTTTAAGATTTTTTTAGAAATGATTGATTCACTTAACTAGCCAATCACATATAATTAAAAAAAATTAGTGTCTAACTTCATGTGATTTGTTTAGTGGATTAGTTCTCAAATTTGCACCTTATGACATAGGGCATTTGAATACCCCATTTGTCTTCTAGTCGGATTCTCAAATTTACACGTTGCAAATAGTGAATGGAATGTAATTTATTTATATTTGATTTGATATTAATTTTTATTTATGAGAATAATAACTATAAAATTTTAGAAAAAAATATAAATGTGAAATTAATTAAAAAGGTTAAACTAAATTATAAAAGTGATACATTAAAAAAATTTAATTATATTATCAATGATCAAATGATCAACTTATAAAACATATAAGTAGTAAAATTATTAACATACATATATAGTTAACATATTAAAACAAAAAATGAAAGGAAATAAATAGCAAAAAAAAAAAAAACTTCAATGACTAATTATGATTATCTTTAATGAATTTATTTATCAACATAAATTACATATACAATTGTTTTTACAATAGCTAAATAAACATATACAATTGTTTTTACAACAGCTAAATAAAACAAACTTCATATAATCATTTTATTTTTATACACACTAAGCTTTAATCTTATTCTATTTGTATTTTCATTTGATATAAAAAATCATTCTACTTATAAAAAAGAGTCTAATAATAAAAAAGTTATTTAAATTAAAATTTATAAAAAATTACTAATAGTTTTTTAATCAATCATTTTTTATATTTTGAAATTAAAATTTTATTACGAGCATTTTTATTAATCACTTTTAAAAATTTTTCAGTATAATTATAAAAAATCTAATAATAAAAAATTATTTAAATTAAAATTTATAAAAACAATTACTAAAAATATTTTAACCAATCACATTTAAAATTTTTTTAAATTTTATTAAGATAATTTTAATTAATAACTTTTAACACTTTTTTAATATGCAAATCCAATTTCGGTGTGATCTATTTAATACGGTGTGATTGAATTTATCGCACTATCAATTAAATCAAATATCAATTTCGGTAAGATCTCTTTAGTATAATTTTTTTCATTGAAATTTTTTTTCAATCACAATTACAGTAATTTTTTTTTAATTGTAGTTACAATAATTTTTATTATTATTTTCAATTTTATCGTAACTATTCTCACCGTTTATTCAAATAAAGTCAAAGTTTATTTAAGTTGCGACAAATTTTAATTTAATAGAGTAATTTTTATGTATCTTTTCTTAATATTTGAAATTTTGAATCTTTTTACGTACGTTGTGGCATTCTTAGTTCCTCAAAGATTTCTAGCCTTTAGAATTATAAAATTGGGCTCTCAAAATGCCATCTGAAGCAGAGAAGATTCATATGTGATTAATAATAGAAAAACAAAAATATCCATGGTAATTCAAAATTATTGATGCTTATGGTGCACAGGCAGAATGTAACAATAGCAATAAAATATTGGCAGAGCATCTTGTTCGCGATAGCTGAAGCTGCAGAACTCCATTTAGTCCAATTACTGATGATTCAGACAAGCATCTTCTGGACAGCCGATATTAAAACATACCTTCATGAAATAAAATGAATGCATTCAGTATGAACATGCGTGAGACACAACTACCATTGAGGATTTCTGAGGTTGATACAACGGCTGATAGTGGTGGCGAAAAACTGTAATACCCCAGCCCAAATAATAATTGGGCTAGACTAATACTAAAACCCATTAGTTTATTAAGATATTATTTAGTAAAAAAAAAAAAGACTGAAGTATTAGATGAAAAAAAACCTAACTATCGTGAAACAGAAAAGAAATAGAGTTCTTTTCCTTCATCTTCCTTAGGGTTAGAGAATATGAAAAATCAAGTTGGAGATTTGCAATCAGAGGCTACAATCAAGTTAATCCCTTAAAGGTGAGTACATGCTCTCTTTTTATTTGAAAAGAAATATCAAGTTGATTTCTATTATTTGGAGTTGAAATTTTGAGAGAAAAACCAAGAAAAATCATGAAATCCTTCATTAATCTTTATGATCTATTTAGGTAAATTATTGGGCTTTGTTTATTTCATGTTTTTAAGATTTATTGATGATTAATGAATAGAATTTGAAGGCTGAAAGTAAGGATTTGAGTTTTTAAAGATTGAAGGAGAAATTCTATTTTTGGATGAGATGTTGTGATCTGTAATAATGAATTAAAATAGAATTTTGTATTAATGGATAGATTATTGCTGTGATTATTATATATCATTGGAAAGTATGTTGAATCTAGTTTCTAATGAAATAAACGAAAGTCAAATCCGAGTTTCTTATGAAGAGTTGTCTAATTTTAACTTAAAGATATGCAGGCTGTAAGACAGCAGCATTAGGGTTGAATTACGAAATTCTTCTTAATTTGTATACAAGGATTTACAGATTAAGCCATATATGTTTGGAAAGATTATTGAGTCTACTTTCCAATGAAATAAGCTGAATTGAATTTGGAGTTTCCTGTGAATAAATATATAATTTTTATTAGAAGGTATACAGTCTGTTTGGCAGCAGTGTATGACGTGGATTTCAAAAATTGTTATAATTAATCTACAAGGAATTACGAGGTGTGCCATATATGGTTAGAAATCTTATTAAGTCTAGTTTCTAACGCATTAAAGAGATCATAATTCCAACTTGGATATATTGAGATATGACTGTTTTAATGAAAAGAGATCAGGCTGTCAGTATTAATTAGTTAAGTTAACCCTTTGTGTAACTTAGTTAATTTTTGTATCAATGGTCTCAAAAAGGGTTGATTAAATTCTGATCTGTTGAAATGATCTTGGATAGGCCATTAATTATTTTTGGAGAAAAACTAAGTGGTGGAATCGAATGGAGGTAAGTAGAATCTCACACACTTTGCTTGTTTTCAAAACTATGTATATATGTATGTTTCTAATTGAATGAATATTTTATTTCATTATTTTCAATGTATGAAAATAGGATCAAGCATATGATTATTTTATGTTTCTTTATATAAATGATGGATCATGCTTATGAATGAAATGAGAAAATGGTTTATGTTTAAAGAATGATTTTATGATAGCTACGTTTTTACATCCCTGGGAAGTGGGATCATCGACACCAGAACTAGTTCACGACCTTGGCTAACGGGTAATAGTAGTTAGCAAAAACATGATCATACGACCCTGGTTAAAGGGTAATAGTAGTTAGCGTAAGCCTTGGCTAACGGGTTATAATAGTTAGCAATGATCATGAGAATGAAATTGTCGATATGGCTAATGTCACGGGTTATAGTAGTGACCGTAGCTAACGATAAACCAATAATAATGATGATTTATGATGATGATGATTTGTTTTAATGATTGATCCATGATTTGATTATGATATTTGAATGATAGCATATTTTGCAATGATTTATGAAGTGACATATTTTGACATTAATTTATGAATTATTGAAATATTTGACAAAACGATGATCTTGAAATGTTTTGATATAATGATTTAATGAATATTTTGAATGATCTATATGATGTGTAAGAAAATGATGCTTAATCTGATAAGGTGTGTGAGCCTATACCTATTGAGCTGTGGTTTGCTCATTCCTCGTTTACTTTTTCTTTACAGATGATTAAGTGATAAGTTTGGTTAGTCTTGCGTGAAACTAGAAGATGAAATGGGTAAGATTACTTAATCATTGGAGAATAGGTTGGCCAATGAGATTTTAAGAGGCAGTTTTGTATTTTATATGGTTTGTATTTGGATATATAAATATGTATCATCAGTTAGATTAAAGATATGAATTTTACTTGGTAGATTATTTTATTGAAGAATTTTAGAATGTTTAAGAAAGAAGGCTTCGTATTACTTTGAGATTTTCTTCAAGGTAATATGGCCGTGTTACGTCTTGATCTCGGGGCGTGACAAAAACTCAGTGCAGAACTGAATTATAAAACTTCTGATAAGAAATAATAGTCTGGCATTGGTGCAAATTCTCAATTTCTTCCCCTCCATACTTTCCTCCTTTGCATCTGCAAAAGCACAAGCCTCTGTCACTTGGAAGCGAAACCAACATTGAGTATCATTCTATGTATAATATAGACACTGAATGTCACTAATTGAAAACAAACCTGAATAATTCAACAAGGTTGTTAAAATTCATTAGTTGCCACAATGAGGAACCGACAGGGTTTATATCAATCCTATAGCTTTGGAGATTCCAGTTAATAGTTAGACTTTCAATTACCGCACACCAAGCCGTATTCGGGATGATTTAATAACTTTTTATGTTTATGCGTCCAAACAGTACTGATCCAATTAGAAAAATCATCTGAAAGTCTACAATGAGACAAAGTTATTTCAACCACAAATTGACATACCTGATTTATGTACAATTGGAATGTAGATTTTCTGATTTTTCCTCACTTGCATTATTGATAGGCTGATCAACTTTCAGCTTTCCTCCTTTGGATCATATTGGTCATATGATCTTGTACCTGAACAACACAATGTATAGCCAACTTTTCATTTTAAACAAAATCTTTAAAATCATTTTACAATACTAGTGCAAGCAAATAGATATGCAATATACCTATAGGTATATATCCTTCCAATCTGCATGACTACAAATGATGTTGATTCTTTAGGCATGAACATTGTTGTCACTGATGTTCGTATCACTGCTGCTGCTGGTGACACTGTTTGAACTGGTTCTGCTGTTGATGACTGAACAGTTTACTTTGTGGCTTAATAAATTGACATATCTCCACTTTAAGTATAAGACAATAGAATCATTAATGGTTTAAATCTTCCAGTTGATCATTCATGTATGAATCGACCGTCAATCTCTACACAAGGAATGTCGGCGATGTTGGACCATTGTTTTCCCTTATCCCTTTTGCACCTTTCCTTTAGCACCGAACTATTCCTTATTAATAGTTTCAAAAGCGAGGGAAGCATTTCCTTCCTGGGTATGGATTTGAGCTTTTTGCAATTGTAGATCCACAAAGACTGAAGAGATGTGAGGTTTCGAAAACCACTGGAGGACAGCTTTCTTAGATTTTTGAAGCTATCACTATAGCAGTTTAGGTTTTTAGTGGCGTTTTTGTAATGTTTAGCGGCGTTTATAAACGCCACTAAAAGATTTATGGCATTTGCAAAAAATGCCAGTCAAAATGTCAGCTATACAGACATTGCGAAAAATAGTGACGTTTTTTCCAACTTAACAGTAGTTTTAAGCACAAATGCCACTAAATTTAACGATTTTTTTTTATACAAGCATCACTAAATTTAGCAACATTTTTTGATACAAACGCTACTAAATTTAGTGGCTTTTGTGCTTAAAAATGCCACTAAATTTAGTGGCATTTGTGTTTAAAAATGCTTCTAAATTTAACGATGTTTTTTGTTACAAATGTCACTAAATTCATCATTTAATGATATTTTTAAATACAAACGCTGCTAAATCGAAAATTTTATTTTTTTTAAATTTTTTAATATTTATTATTATAATTAAATAAAAATTGTTAAAAGAAATAAAAATGAATTTAAATTCATAAATTGAATATTATAAATATTTAAATATCTAAATACATAATTTGTTCCAATATGCATGTAACACAGTTTAATATATGTAATAACATTCCACTTTACATTTGTTTTCCTCTTGCCAATCAACGGACTTTATAGAAGGAATCGCACTTGCTTTGAGTGGAGCCTACAACACCCATTCCTCCTCTTGGCTTCCATTGCTAAAGAGAGTATTTCTCCAGGAACCTCAAAATGTGCTGTTAAAAATGCATCACAGTATATTTCATTTATCTTCTCCACAACTTTATGTTTTGGATAAGCTATAAAAAGTATCATAAAATTTGTAATGCAAGATAAAATCAGGGAAGATATACAAAATCTCATTGTTACATACATGTAGAAATAACAAAGAAATAGGTTTAACCAAAGCAACAAACTAAGATATATTTTTTAGCCAATGATCAAGATAAATGCACAAGACAAAAGGATGTACACTCCCTCTCTAATTGCATTTCATGAAAATGCCTTTCATAATAATAGTTCTTCCATTTTGCATATTTCATTATGAAATTGCTAGACTAGAAATGCAATGCCATATAATTTGAAGGAAGGAGAATATAGGAAAGGCTAAGAGATAGATTGTCAATCAAGTTCATGTTTGATTGCATTTGAAAAAGATATAGATTATTTGATTCCATGAAGTTTATAAGATGAACCATTTCAAATTATATTTTCAGCTTGTAAATAAATTCATAGAAGTAAATGGATTTAAATGCTTCACGAGGGAAATAAACTAATCTTTCAAAATAAAATGGCTGCGTAACAAAGTTTCAAGAGGTAAATGCAAATTGTGTAATGGATAAATCAACTATGTTGCATCTTGAACTGATGGTACAGCTGTTTCTATAGAGATAATGCTTTTTTAGACTTAGCAGTAGCAAAAATTGTATCATGGTATCATCAGAAAGTAATTGGAAAAAGTATAGAGGACCAATCCAAGTTGATAGGTCTACAGTACGCACCTTTCAAGTGAATTAATTGATCTACATCTAATTGATGCTAAAACAAGTGATCATAAACTGGAATTGAAAAGATCAATTAAGGAACCAAAAGAAAAACTGATTTGAAGAATAAAAAGTGCAAAAAAATACAAGAATTAACTAGAAACAACCAAAATATAAAGTGAAATTCAACCAAAACTCACTAAGTTGATGAAAGAAAAAATTAGGTTTAGAAGCTTATAATGAAAATGAACTTGAAATGAACTAAGAAACAATTCATCAATCAAGTTTGCTACAAAATTAAACAAGAAAATTGCAGCAAAATAGAGAAAAACTAGCTTAATGATCTAGCAACTCAAGTGATACTCAAAATAGAGAAAAATAAAGCATTAACAATTAAATCTATCCAAACACCAAATGAATTCATGAAAATAAATGCAATAAATTAAAAAATAACAAGTAAACATGTAAAACTAAGAATGTAAAGTATGAGAGAATCAAATCAAACACCTAGAAGGAGAGAGGATCATCATTCATCAAGTTTTCATGCATGGATTGTTTCTGTCTTCTGGATTCATCCTTAATTTTGAAGAATTAATTGTACTTGTACAAATGGAATTTGAGGCTGAGTATTTACTGGATTATATATTTATGAACTAGGAATCTAGGAAAAAAAATTTGAAGTAAATCAAGCTAGAATTCACTGAGTTTTGATAAAAAGACTGAAGATAGGTCAGGTGTGGGTTTTGAAACCAGATTTGAGTTCAACGTGAATTTTACAGAATTTGAAATGGAAATCATTAGAATTTGTAAATTTCATTATGAAAACCTTAAAGAACATTCAAAAAGAGTATAGGAAACCTAAAATTGTAACAAGATTCAATTAAGAAAAATGAAATTAAAAGCTATTTGGTTGGAAAGAAAATGAAAATGATAGCAGATCAGGTTCTGACAAAAAAATGAAAGGTAAAATATCAGTGTTGTGCTCTAAGTTGCACCAAAAGAGATATATGGAAAGCATAAACTTTTTATAAGACAGCTGATTAGTCATAAAATATGGCTTAAACAAGGTTTAGGAAAGTACAAACAAGTATCAACAAATATCATACAGACATTCATGTGAAACCATGGCCTCCCACCCCAAAACCCTTTAGCTTCTGACAAATTATTAAAAGTTCTTTTTGTAACAAAATATAAGATTCAAGTACATTATCATGAATTTATACTTTTATATAGTTCTTTTGATTCAAAAGATCTTCTTTCAAAACAATTACGTTTCTTGCTTCCTCTCACACTCACCCAAGCACATTTAACACATTAAATCAAACAGCAGGTAAAGATTTATATATTAAACCAATAGAGATAAAGCAAGAATCAAGGCAAAGCATTCACATATAGATATGCATCACAAAGAGTGGAAAGCTCATGAGTTGTTTTGAAAAGTCCTTATCTTCTTTTTGAGAAAGTCACCTACCTTGTTGCTACGTTGTCAATTTTCTTGATTTGAGTTTTCTTTCTTGCCATTCTCTTCCAAGAAAAAAGCTGGGAAAAGAAAGGAAATTACAAAGAAGAAAAAGGGGGTTTCAATTTTAAAGAAAATTTTTAGCTGCGTTATTTCATTACGATAACGGCGTTTACTTAAAAAAAAAGTTACTATTTACAAAAAGGATTATTGAAGGCGTTTCAGGAAAAAAATGCCTTTAATAATCCTGTTATATTTTTTAGAGGGGATTATTGAAGGTGTTTTTTGCAAAACTCTTCCTTTTCCTCTTTTTTTGCACCTATAGACACAACCTATGGACAATTTTCAAACTTAAAACTATGAAGAGATCTCAAAGGCACCATCCAACCCCACGTTGTTTTCCACAAAGAAGCCAGCTCTCCACAGTCATTAATATGGAGATTTTCTACTTTCATCAATTCTAACATTGCCATTTCCACTGCTACACATGTAAATGCTGAAATGTTGGAAAGAATGATTTTCTTCACTAACCAAAGATTGATAGAACTCTGAAGCACCAATCCTTTGCATCCATCAATTTCTAATTCACATAGCCTTGGGAGGTTTGAATTTGGAGCTACCAATTGTGGATGTCATAATATATAGATCTGAAAATCTATAGCTAGACTTAACAAATTAAAGAGTTGCCATCAATCTTTTTTTATCTAGGTGTGATTGATCACCTAAGAAATCTATCATTTTAAGGAACTCATAAGCTTGACTAAAGGTCTTTAAAAGAATAGGTTTGGGTCTACAAACTATAACAAGGTTTGTGAGTTCGGTTACATATGGGAAAAGTTATAGCACCCCTATATGCCCATCCAAAAGATGGTACCATATTATTTTAAATTTATCCTATGATTTTGATTCTAATTGTTTCAAATTTTGATATTAAAATATTAGAAATAATTCTTAAGATTCTTCTATCAATCTGGTATAATTTACAAAATATTCCCCCACCTCAAGAGTATTCAAGAATCCCATTTGTTTTCAAGAATAAGCTCCGTCGTCGAAAAAATTATTTTTTTAGTTTTATTATTTTTTTATTAAAAATATATCTAATTATTCCACCATTTAGGCCAAATTAAAAATATTTTCTCTTTTTGAATTTCTAAATTTTCCACCATTTAGGCCTATTTAGAAATTCTTTTTATTTCTTTTTTTAAAAGAAAATAATATGATAATTATTTTTCTTGAAATTTCATTTAAATTTTTTCACAATTTGGGACAAATTTAAAGAAACTTCTCTCCTAGAGATTTTTTAAAAAATTTGCCATTTGAAATTTCTAGGAATCTTATCATTGGATAATTGTCACATATTTTCAACCAAAATTTTATTTTTTTATTTTTTTATGTTTTTTGGTTTGAAAATAAATATTAATTATTGTTATTGAAATTTT